CAATTTTTACTGAATCTGTCTTCAAAATATTTTCTAAATTTGTTTAACTTGACTCTTACTCCATTATCATCACCCTGTTCCAAGTAAGTGTTCTCTGTCTTCTGGATTAGTACAGTAGCTGTCCTGGTCTCCCAGCTCCATTTTTGCCCCACTCTGTTCTGCAAATAGTAGCCAGAGGAATATTTTACCTGTATTTTATATTTCCCCAAGTATTTTAGTGTTTTTGATGTTACAATTCAGGCAAATATTTTAGAGACTACTTTCAAACTTCCCCAACTTGAATTTTCAAGAATACAATTCTAAGTTACCTGAAATTCAAAATTATGGATTTTAAAAGAAATGGAGTTTTCTTTCATTAAAAATCTTACTACCTCAAGCTTGTCTAAATTTGTTACTTGATACCTAAGAAGTTTTATACTGTGACAAATAGATAAATATGATTTATGACTAGCAATAATTACTATAACAGTAATTATTTTATAAATGTACTGCCTGTTTCCAAGCACTTTCTCTATGGGAAGTACAAAAAGACATGGTCTTTGCCTTATATAGATATAGATGTATATTCTGAATTAGCACCAAGTATTTTTACAAATGGTTTATGAAACTAAGTAAAACAAAGCCTGGCTATATCTAAGTGATCACAGAACATTATTTTTCTTTTACTGTTTCTTGAAAATAACACTTTAAAAAATTTTCTGAAAAAGTTACGACCTATTTCTGAAAATGATCAGGACAATGAGGCTTTTAGCTTGTTCCCAGTCCAGCCTAACACCTTTGCATATAGTTTGCTGTTCTGCTTTACAAACCAAGTATCTCCGAATTATATTATTTTGTACAAACCCAGATACACTGTATTTTGACTTTGACAGCATGTTGAGGTCAGTAATGTTTAATTTTTTATTCATAATAGAAAAAAAATAGGAAGCATTAAAGTTTTTTTTTTAAAGTAATAATTTATTACTCCATTTCATCACTGAGAAGTATACTCCTCAGTGATGAAATGGAGTTAATAATTGTTCTGATACTTCATGAGATAACGTTAAATGAATTATTTAGTGTTAAGTAAAGAACCCTGCTAAATTATTTTACACTATTCAAGGTTAATTAATGTATTTTAAGATTTAGTTCTTTAAAAATACATTTTCAGTCCATAGATTAACCTTTGAATTTTGAATTTTAACATGTCTTCTTTTAGTTAAAATAAAACCCTCATGGTTGACTTTTTAAATGTATAATAGGAAGGTTAAATTTTTGTATGAGTTCTTCATTTTTTTAAAAAAAGTTAAATCTGCGTTTTCTTTTATATATTTAAAAGATTAAATACTTTGAGGATAAAAATAACATGATACTCCATGAATCATGAAATTGGCTTTTAGAATTGTTGAATTAGAATTGAAAGGGAAGTGTACCACATGAACCTGAATCAGGATGCAGTGGCTACAAACACGTGTAAGAGTGTGACAGGAATAAGCTACCATTTATAAAGAAGCACTCCACTAAACAAACTAAAACCCTGAGGAATTTTTAAATTGTGAAGTAATGGGAACAATCATTTAATATGGAAGGAAGGAGCTAGTGCATGCCTCCCTTCTTGAATGTCTCATAAGATCAAATCTTGGGGTGAGATGACTGAAGCAGGGAGGATAATTTAGTGGCAGCATAACAGATAGATTACCATTTAGAGAGGCCAAACTCTTAAACTGATTACATTAGGGGATAGGACTAAAATTAGGACACAGGTGTGTTCAGAAATAGGCTGCTACTAGTTGTGTTTATTTCCCCCAAGAAGTACACGTTTATTAATAGTTAATTTATTAATAAATTATTAATAGTTAATAGTCTTAACAATTCTTAAACATTCCTTTATCTGTGTTCAATCACTTTCTCTTTCTGAAGGTTTATTTCTTAGTAGCTTTGACTCATCTTGGCTTGGAGAGGTCATTTCCACCTAGACTTTTTGCCTCACCTCTTATAAGCATGAGTGGTCATGCTCCAGCTTACCTACAAATGCACTCCTTAGGCTTAATCTTCTTTTCATATCAACATGCAATCATTTGTCATAATACCACTCCCCCATCCATCTTCAGTACTGCAGTTAATTATGATATTTGTTTGATGCTCATCTTCTAGTAGAGTCAGTCTTTACTGCTGTATTCCCAACCTATAACCCAGTGCCGGGCAGAGGTAGGCACCCAATAAACACCTGCTGGTTGATTGCCAGCAAGAGGCTCCTAGAATCTGGTCATGACACAGCTGCCACCTGAGGCAGATGTGGGAGAATGGTGGGTAAAACTGGAAAGATAAGAAGGGACTAGATTCCAGAGTGGATTGAAGTCATATGAAGGAACTTCTGCTGCATCCCCAGCATAGTGAGAGGACATCAGAGGATCGTTAAGTCCAAGTCCATTCTTGGGTGTACATCTCCCTTCTAGACTCTAGCTAGTGATTTCTCAGTTGTCTTTTTTTTTTTTTTTTTTTTTTTTTTTTGATGGCCAGTCTAGTGCAGTAGTGAGGAGAGGGGAAAGTAGTAGAACAAGGAGTTCAATCTGTAACTGACTGTCAACAATGAAGTGAGATAACTTGCTACCTTCAGACTAGTCTCTCAGTCTTAACAGGGAGATGTTATCCACATTCATAGAAAGTGTATGGGGCACATGAAAAGCAAAGTAACATTGTATGTTATTTGTGGTTATGTATTCATTAAGTTTTAAAAGACATTTCCAGGGTACTTTTCTTACAACTTTTAAAATAAACAGTTTCATGTACTTAAACAATAAATATGGATTTATAAATAAGTGGAAGAATTAAAATGTTCATATTTTCATACAGAAATAAGTATACTGAATTTGGGAATCATAGTAAAAACAAAACCTACAGTATTTATGGATTTCAAATTTAAAGAGCAATTGGTAGATATCTAATATCTTTTCAGTAATTTGGTATTATGTACCTAAAAATAAACAGAAGTTAAAAGTTACCTTCATCCAAAGAATTAAATAATAAGAACATTATAAAAACAGGTACATTTATACTTCAAGTTAAACTTTTGAAGGTATTTTAAAGGGAAATTATTTTTAGTTCCTATTCTCCTGAACCAAAGAATTTATAGTCCCATTCAAAAAAAATAATATATAATGTTGAACATGTATTATTTTTAAAAGACTAACAATTGTATGGCTTTCAAACTAACCTTCCAAAATATGATAGTATTTCTTTTTTATTTAAGAGAATATACTTCCTTTTCTGTTTATAAAAGTAATAGGTGCTTATTGCAATAAGCAATTGCTTATTGCAAATAACAATTGCTTATTGTTATTTAGAAAACACACAAAAATCTTAAAACACATTAATTCTGATCTCTTCCCATCTTTTATATTCCACCATTTTAAAAAATCACCTCTCTTTCTTTTTTTGTTTTTATTAAGTAGGCAGTTTTCTAACATGGTTTTCTTTACTGTGACTATTGCATCTCACTAGTTCCTTTTGGGTTCATTTTTCTTCTTACTGAAATAAATCCTTAAGTATTTCTCTCAGTGTGTATCTATAAATGATAAATGTAACTTTTTTGCCCCAAAATACTTTGATTTCACTCACACTCTTCAATTATAATTTAGCTAGATATGGTAGGCAATTTTCTTAAATATATTACATTCTTAAATTCTGGTATCTTGCTGATGAGAAGTCTAAAATGTATAGTGATGCCTATTTTCTTGTTACAAATAGTTGTCTTCACTTTTCTCCCCCTTTAAAACAGTTTTTAAAACTTACTGTATTGATATACCAAATGAACTAATCTAATTTTTAAATAAATGGTTGTATGTGGGTAATGCTATATTTAATACAAACAAAATATCCTAAGATTGTTGCTTGAATATGTATTATGAACAAGTATTATGTTTGTAGTATGCTCTGCATGGTGCCATATATTGATTTTATGGCTCTTTTCCCAAAAGTGGCATTTTGAATTATATTTTAATTTAGGCAGAGTCCAGCAGAACAGTGCTGTCTAGTGGAAGTTTCTGTGGTGATGGAAAGATTCTGTATCTGTACTGTCCAATAAGTGAGCCACTAGTCCCTAGACCTTGAGTGCTGATGTATTTTCTTTTCATTTACCTTTATCTCCTATTAGATGAATATAAATTTTGAATTAATAACTTGTTTAGTTTTAGACCTGGGGTCCCCAACCCCTGGGACACAGACTAGTACTGTTCCATGGTTAGGAACTGGGACGCACAGCAGGAAGTGAGCAGCAGGTGAACAAGCAAAGCTTCATCTATATTTATAGCCACTCACCATTGCTCACATCACTACCTGCACTCCACCTCCTGTCACATCAGCTGCAGCATTAGATTCTCATAGGAGCGCAACTCGTACTGAAAACAGCGCATGTGAGGGATCTGGATTCCACACTCCTTATGAGAATCTAATGCCTAACGATCGGGGTGGAGCTGAGGTGGTGATGTTAGCGCTGGGGAGCGGCTGCAAATACTTATCATTAGCAGAGATGTTTGCACAATAAATGTAATGCGCTTGAATCATCCTCAAACCATCCTCCCTGCCCCAGCCCATGGTCCATGGAAAAATTGCCTTCCATGAATCCAGTTCCTGGTACCAAAAAGGTTGGGGGCCAGTATTTTAGACTCTGTAATTTAAGATAATTCATTTTTACATACAGATTTTTTCCTAAAAATTTAAAGCTGACTAGCTTCTGGGTTTTAATGGTTGAGGCTTGCCTATGCAATATAGGATGAGAAGTATGTTGTGGAATTATAATGAGATAATTTGTATGTTTAGCTTGTGGTATTGGTTTCTACATTATAGTCATATATATATATATATATATTCAGTCTGCTTTTCAAGTATTAAGGCTAGTATATTCTCTGAAGTTACCTTTTTATATATTAATTGTTATTTATTAAGAAGAATTATAGAAGTAACTCTTCAGGTTTCATTCTCCTAAATAAGTAGGCATGTTAATAATACCTTATGTTTTTCAGATTGCAAATAGAAGAATCTTCCAAACCTGTAAGGCTATCACAACAACTGGACAAAGTTGTAACAACCAATTACAAGCCTGTTGCCAATCATCAATACAATGTAAGTCTTGTGTGTTTCTTTTCATTCTGTTATATCTTTGTTCTTTTCTGTATCATAGAGTCTTAGGCTTTGAAAGGACCTCAGCAGTCATACACCTTGCCGCCAGGTGCTTGAATTATAGTACCTGATCCAGGCTTATAAATAGAAAGGAATGTGATGATTTTCCAAGCATATAAAGATATTTGCTCTATATTGTAAGTTATACAATGAGAAAAAGGCAACCACTCTTCAAACCTCTCTTCGTAACTTTTTACAAAGAAATAAAACACTTCAATTCTCAATCTTACTAATTTTTAAATCACAATGAACTAAATGTTAGTTTTACTTTTTTTCCCTCTACTTTTATGACTGACTAACCATAAGAGAATTTTTAATGTGTTGACAAAAAATTTTAAAGGTCATGGAGCAGTAGTAGTTTTTCCCATTGGTTGTTAAGATTGCTTTGCCTGGTTTCAGCTTTCACAGGCATTTTTATGGCTTCCTACTACCTTGCAAAGTGAAGACTGCCTGTACGTTATCTGCCCCTTATCCAAGGTTTTGCTTTCATGGTTTCAATTACCTACAATCAACTATAGTCAGAAAATATTGAATGGAAAATTCTAGAAATAAACAATTTGTAACTTTTAAATTGTGTACCATTCTGAGCGATGTGATGAAATCTCACACTATCCCACTCCATCCCACCCAGAATGTGAACCATTCCTTTATCTAGCATATATCCACACTGTATACGCCACCCACCTGTTAGTCACTTAGTAGCCTTCTCGCTTGTCAGATTGACATATCACAAGAAGAAAAAGGGTGAATACAGTACAATAAAATCTTTTAAAAGAGAGAGAGAGAGACCATATTCACTTAACTATTATAGTGTATTATTATAATTGTTCTACTTTATTATTATCAATCTCTTGCTGTATCTGATTTATAAATTAAATTATATCATAAGCATATATGTATAGGAAAAAACATTGTATATATAGCATGTGGTACTACTAGCCATAGTTTCAGTCATCCACTGGGGGTCTTGAAACATATTGTGAAGATAAGGAAAAGCTATTATATGTGTTTTCAAAATCTTTTTTATTAACACATATCTTACATATAGCATATATTATATATAATATACACATTTATTGTGTACATATCATGTATTGTATACATATTTGTGCCAAGTACTATTCTGACTACTTCATAAATGGTGACATTTAATCTTCACAACTACCCTATGAAGTAACTACTACCCTTATGCTTATTTTACAGACAGGCTGAGACAGAGAGGTTAGCTTACCTGAGGTCACACAGTATAATTGACTAGACCAGGTGTTGAACTAATGCGGTCTACCTTAGGAGCCACACTCTTAACCACAGCTCATTAGCAATTCTAAAAGGGCCACGGGTTTGGGGTTTTAAAATACCTGTAATGTAGTAAGTGTGATGATTTCCTGAAAATAAAATGCCTGAACTAAGTAGCAATTAACAGTAGAAATTTTGTGTCCTACTTTGTTGCTTAAGCTTCCTCTTGATACTGAGTTTAAGAACACAACCCTCTTTAAGACTAGGCTTAAGTATACAGATTTATTAAGTGACATCGAATAGTATCTGCCAAACCACTACTATATGGTATTTAAGTTCCTTATGGTTATTTTATATGAAAGAGAGCAAATGCAAATGCCATCAGTGCTAAGCAAACATCTTAAATGAGTAGAATGATGAAATTATGAAGTTTAAGATGGTAAATGTTAGGGACTATGTGGACTGGAGTGCACATGACTCTTCTGAATACATCCAAATTTTTAAAATTGCTATACTGTGTGGATTAAACAAAGTGATCAAAATACAGTTGCATCTAGCCAGGCTTCCATTTTACAGCCTCTGGTTATACTTCACAGGCAAAGTAAACTAAAGAAAGACAGGCAAGGTAAGTGTAGACAGAAGTGTCAGATAATTAATCCAAGAGAGGTATTTTTCTGTTGTCTCTTAATTGAGACAAATAGATAAGTCTACTTTCTTGTCCTTTTCAACTCTTACGTGGGAATACATACAGTTTTCTGGAGCTCAGTAGAAATAAGGAAGTAAAATTGTATAGGTCTTAGTTGTCTTCATCATACTTATTCATTAGTGTGCCTCTCCTGTGCCTTTTTTCCTCCTCTCATGAGCCAGGCTTCTATATACCGTTTCCACCCTTGTATATGTTTTCATCACAGTGAGGACCACACTTCCCATAGGCTGTAAAGACCTATTATCTTTCTGGTGGGAAGTTTGGTAATTTGTGTCAAAAGCATTATAAAAGGATATACCCTTTGACCTAGCAATCTTGTATCTAGGAATTTACCATAGACAAGTGCCCAAAGATACATATACAACAATGTTTCTCTTTATTGTTTAATATAGGAAAAGACTATAAACAAACATCCCAAATTGGGATTGGTTAAATATTTTAAGTCATTATTTTAGGATAGTAGGATCTAGAGTGATTTTATCTTAATTTTCCTCTTTACAAAATCTTTTCCAGTCATTGGTATTGTCACAGTGGGCATGTATTGTCTGAATTGGTACAGTGAGCAGTAAAGCTCTTCTTTTGGGATGGCAAGGGAAGAAAGCTAGGGAAGAGTAGCCATGACAGTACATATCACAATTGTCTAACATTTGTCTTCTCTTAACAACAAATATTTTTTAAATACCTATTTGTGCCAGTGAGTATGTATAAATGGTGAGTATGTATAAATAAATAAAATCCCTGTCTTCAAGGAGCTACCATTTCTTTCAGTTCTCTGGTTGTGCCTTTCTAGATCTTCAGTTGGGGTATAATGTATAATTCTTTTGAAGTAGTGAGTCCACGTGTCTATGTTATGATCATTTTTCCCTTAATTCCACTGCAAGAGTTATTCTTGCTATGTTGCTGCAGACCATAATTTCTGAGGCAAAAGGCAAATTTCTCTTGGGTTGATCAAAGCTGGCATTTTGATAATATCAAAGCTCTGACTTCTGCCCATTGACACTCTACCTAGCAGATATAGAAGGCAGATACCAAATGTCATCTTTTGGGGTGTTTGGCATTGTTTTCTTTTTACTGCTAAAATAAGTACAAGTATATTCTGAACTTCTTAGTATACAAAAGCTACAGCATCCACTTTAACAACATTGAACATTAAGTGACATTTCAGTTCAAAGTATCAGCCTTTGTTAAGGTTGTCATAGTGTAAATGAGTCACTATAGTAATGAATCATGTATTAGTCTTCCATTAAGGGTTTTTTTACATAAAAACAAAGATTGTCTATAATCTACCACATTGCATTTGAATGTTCAGTGATTATTTTCTATGGGAGTATATCAGAATGGGTGAGGGTACCCACCTAGCTTTAAAAAGCATATTCAGTATTGTAGTATAATACCAACTATAGAAAGAGCATAAAATTTTTGTTATATATCAGAAGGGGAGATTGATTTTTAAAAGATTGAGAAACATCAGCATAGGTCAGCAAGAATGATTTAAAAGTAACATAATCAAGCCCCCAGTAAAAAAAAACTTTAAACTCAATATAATGTTGAAATGTTTTCAAAGTTTTGCCAGATGGAGCTATCTAAACATGAAGCGCAATATTTTTCATTTTAACATTGAATGCAATTTCAGAATAAAAATAAAGAAAAATTTTTGTACAATAGATGAAAGAGGAGGTAGAAAATTGCATATTTGCAAAAATATATTGCTACGTTTGATCAGAAAGAAACTACCTTGCATTTACTCCCAGAAACTTTTCACCCACCTATGGCACATATATGAATTTACATTTATTATTAATTTCATCTGAAGAGCATCCAGTTTTGTACGAAGCTACTCTAAGCATTAAATTCAAATTTATCTCCTTAGTTCACAAAACTGAGTTATAATATTTACCTTACTTGCCATTCAGAAAGTATTTATTGAGCCAAAAAGAATTATATGATTAGTATTATAGAATACCCCTTCCTTGAAATTGCAGCCCTGAAAACCCTTCTCTTATTAGGATATGACCTGTTGGATTTTTCCCTAAGTGACATTTTCTGTGCCTTAAATCTTCATTAATTTCTAAAACTTGAATTGGTTCATGAGGGTCAGCATTTTCCAAAGTAAGTTTTTTGTAACACTAACTTTGTGTTTTCTTGGGGGAAAAGAAAGCTGTGTAAAAAGGATTCTGTGTTGAAATAACTTGTAGATTCCAGTAATGTACCCCCTCTTCAAAATTGACACTGCATTTGAATATGCTAAAGATTGGAGACTTTCAGAAATTTGATTAATCCTGCATTTTGCAAACATTTGAACATCAAATTTTCCTTCACTAATTCTTTGAATTAGTGAAAACAAATTTTGGGAAATAATAGGGATATCAAAATAGGGTTTACAAGAGAGCCCATCAGGTGAAGGGAAAAATATTGTAACTTAACATTTATCTTGTTTTTTACCAAATAAGGGAAGGAAATGGTGCTTTAGAAATATTTACTGTGTGGATTGGCCCTGGCACCCTTGTGCAGTCTTTATGCTAGTCAGTCATTTTTCAACGTAAGAGTGGAAATGGCTCAACACTAAAGGATTGACCATGGTGCCCTCATATTTTCATTTGCTTTAAACTCAATCTCAAATAATGAAGAAATGGCTTTAAAATGTGCAAAGAAACTGTTGATTATGGATAATACTAATAAAGCAAACGTATATGAACAAGAAAGTGGAAAAATGGACACCTCTCTTGCTTCTTAAATGATATCTTTTATCAGTTGTTTTATTTGGTAGAAACAATGATAATGTAATCAGATGTGACAAGAACTTGGCCATTCCAAAAAGGAAATTATCAGTATCATTTTAAATATAGCTTGTCATGCCCTGTCTTTAATGACTCATTGTCTATCACAGAATCAAAATCAACTCTAGATATTTTGAGCAGAAAGGGACTTAATGCAGGGAGTTAGTTACAGATGATTTATGAAGACAAAATGGAAGGGCTCAAGTTGCAAAAGGGAAAAGGGG